TTTCATGCTCTCAAGATGAAAGAATTTCAAAGAACACTCTTCACTCATCCTTTCCAGCGCCCTCCACACATTTCCTCTGGTCAGAACCAGTGCATACGTTAATATTCATGGCAGTGAGTGAGCACACATTTGCACTAGCTTTCTTCTGTAAGTCAAAGAGGGGTTAAATAATTTCTAATTAATGTTGCCACACTAATATATATGAGATGCTTTCTCTAGAGTGACAACACTGCTAAAATTTCTAGATATATCTTCTAAATTGATTTTTTAAATGAATTTAATTTTTTTGCTTATTGTTTCTAAGAATTATTTTACTCAATATTGGTTAAATAATCTTTAACACTACTAATTTAAATGTGTACAACACCCTACAGCTTAGAAGTCTCTTCTTTATATTATTTTTCTTAAAAACCTACCATTTATTTATCTTCTTAGAAAAATACAGATAGAAAGTTAAACTGCAAGAGGAAGAAACAGAGATGAACCAAGATAGAGTAATTTTGGGACAAAGTATGCTTACTATAAATAATCTAAGCTACCTGGTGACAAGGATCCCATTTGGCTCATTCATTCATTCATCCAACAAATATATATTGAGATAACTACTAAGTGGTAAGCTCATTTATTTTTGTATCCATAGAGTCTAACATAGGCCTGGGCCATACTAGTTGCTCAGAAAATATTTCTGGATAGACTTCAAGCATGTACTGAAATGAACAATGAAAAGCCATATTTTTATACTATGTTATGCTTCTTATTAATCATCATTATTATCAAATTATGTTCTCTGTCATTAGACAGTTTATCTCTATTGGAAAATAATGGGCAGATATGAAATGACTAGAGAACAATTCACGATAAAAGTGAGTTATAATAAATGAGATAATTACTAAGGAGAGATAATCATTCATCCAACAAAAATTCCCACCACACACTTCCTTTAAACCATCAACAACCATAATCAATTCTTACTTGAAGATTCAGAAAACAACATCAATAAAAATATGCAACTTTTCAATACTATAGCTACTGCATATCAAGTGCTACATTTTTTCCATGTTACAAACAAGTGTTAAAAGACTTTCTTTAGCTATATAGGAACTAAACTGTACCTGTGACCTCACATTAGCTAATGAAAAATTGACTGTCTATTCTTCACCTAAGTCATCATATTTTCAATATATAATTCATTAATTCATTCATTATTTCAGAAAGTATTTATTGGTACTTGTATTCTAGGCCCTATCCTAAGTAAATTCTCCTCACTTCATGTATTTATCTTTCCCTCATTCCTCCTAAAACCTTACAAATTTCAATGGTAATATCATATGGCTTTGAGGTTAACAGTAGTAGCATTAATAGTAATATAATTTTAAAAATCTATAAAAACTAGGCCACCTGAGTCAAAAAACATTTTATTCCAAGTTTTTGTATTTTTAAAGGTACAATTGATCAAAATTTAAATATGATTTTTCTTTTTTTATATTTTATTTATTTATTCATGAGAAACATAGAGAGACAGAGACAGAGACAGAGACACATGCAGAGGAGGAAGCAGGCTCCATGCAGGGAGCCTGATGTGGGACTTGATCCCAGGTCTCCAGGATCACGCCCTGGACTGAAAGTGGCACTAAACTGCTGAGCCACCCGGGCTGCCCTATGATTATATTTTCAAGTTAAAGTCAAACATAATCATTCTGGATGAATGGATGGGATGACGTCAAATATTCACATCTTCATCGAAATTTTATGTCAATCATATTTTTAAGGTTATCTAATTGAAAAAAATAAAAAATAAAGCTATCTAATTGAAATGGCATTGTACATTTCAGCAAGACTGGAGTACCTTTACAGGAGAACAACTTATTGGTTAATTTACTAAGGGTAGAAATGCAATTCTTAAAGATTAGTACAGAGTTTATATTTGGCTGACCTTGAAGGTTTACAGAAGTTTTTCTGGCCATTCAGTGGCTAATAATAACTAACTTTTATAGCTAAGACATATCACCTATGGTACTAATCAGGTTAATTTTTAAATCAGGTACATTCATAAACCAAAATCAAACAACACTAATAAACTACAAATCTTGTTTTTCTTTTAGATTTCTAATCTTGAAAGAAGTAGAAGAAATAATCTGATGGAAATTAGGATAAATTGAAAGGTACCTAAATAATATGATAAAATAAGGTCTTAAAATTTTCAAATTTAAGTATTATTATCAAGAATACTTCTATCACCTGCTGTTAGCAACTTTGGTCCCTAAACACATCATTCTCTTTCTCTGTTTTTTCTCCCTCCCTCCCTTCCTCTCCAACACTTGTCTTTTTAAATTTCTAACTCCTCCTTCTCTTCCATTTCCCTATACCCACCATTACATGAATTAGAGGTAAACTTCAATAGTGTAAAATACAAAACCAAACCAAACATCACTGGCCTTTTTTTTTTTTAAGATTTTTTTTTTTAAATTTTATTCATTCAGAGAAAGCGAGAGAGAGAGGCAGAGACACAGGCAGAGGGAGAAGCAGGCCCCATGCAGGAAGCCCGATGTGGGACTTGATCCCGGGTCTCCACGATCACACCCCAGGCTGCAGGCAGCACTAAAACGCTACACCACCAGGGCTGCCTCCATCACTGGCCTTTGGTTAATTTTGTTTGTACATTGAAACATGGAAAGAAGTGACTTGTTTCCATATAAGGAACTTGCAGAGTCATTAATAGCTGATCATCATTTGTAAGCAATGAGAGAAAAGGGAGGGAGATAAGTTATAGTTGGCCAGATTTGGACTAAGACAGATAGATACTAGAAGTTGAGATAGGAGGAGTAGAGGTGACCAAAAAGGGGGTTTAGTAAGCCCAGAGAATATATATTTTCTATTTCCCAATCAAGTACTGGTTCTCAGATCAAGCAAAAGTTTGAAGATAGCTCATCCCAGAGGGAAAAGGTATTGAGACAAATATTGAATCTAAAGTGAATAGGCAGGCAAACCAAGAAGGAGTTTCAGAGAGAATAAGGCCCTCATAGGACAGTTATCAGAAATCTGTGGCAAGTAAAGGAACCACGGAAATTACTGGGCTTTTATGGACACCTAGAAAGTCAATCCATTACATATGGAGGGACTTTTAAGCCCACATTTGATCAAAATTGGAAAAAAAAATACCCATTCTTGTAGACTGAACCTTCTGACCATAAAACAAACAACAGTAGTTGGAGTAATTCAATAACACAGCCCTGTATGATTTGAGAATGATCATTGCAGAACCTATTCTCAGGGTAAATGTGTAATTGGCAATGGATCAATAAGTAATTTCTTTCAGGAGGAAAAGCTCTTGTTTTCATTTTTCTTTCTTTTTTTTTTCTTTAGTTTTTTGAAGTAGCAAGGTTCTTAAATCAGAATGGAGCAAATATATTTAGAAAGTTGAGATTACTCTAAACCGCAAGATTCCTTAGTGCACTAGTTAAGTTTATATCAACTGATCATTTATTTATGATGCCATAAAAATCAAGATGCTTTCAATTTTGATTGTTAGATATTTGCTGAAAGGCAGTTGAAATTACTTTCCCAGGGTTCCCATTTGACAACTGCATTTTGAATTGAAAATTTACTACGGTTCAATAATGGTTGTGCTGAGGTGGGTTTCTTTTTCCCCTTTTCTTCTTTCTAAGATTAGCAATGAATTCAGCTCTTGTGGTCAGTGTAAACACCTACTCAGATAATTGGAAATTCTAGAAGTCTAGTGGAAAACTAAGAAAATAAATGAATAAAACTTTGAGAATTAAGCCCCTGTAAAAATTGGTGATAATGTATTTTGGTGTTTGATGGTTTTCCTAATCATTTCAGGATGAACGCCTGAAGGCCAGTTTCTAAGAGGAAAAAATATGTTGACCTAATCAAATTGTCTTCTGAGGCATGTGTGCTGGTAAAGGGAGAACTTATAGGGATAGATGAAAGCAAAACAAACCAAATTTACATAATCATGTAAGACAGAAAAGATAAACTATATACATCAAGGATAAAAAGGAAATAGAAAGACTTACACACTTTTGGAACCTCACAGGAGATACAGATTTTCAACTAAAAACTATGATATGAGGAACCCATTAGAGTTTTTGAATATGTGACATTTTCTTATGGTTGTTATTTTTGTATATCAGTAAAATATTAATATCACTTAACAATGAGAGACTGCATGTATTTCTGTGCAAGTATTGCAATAAAGTGAGATAAAGAATTATAACTATACAATTGAGTAACTCTTTGAATGTCGATATATGAGGCAGAGTCTCCAAGTTATAGTAACTTTAAAAGGTTAAAAAAACTTTTTATTTGTTAACCATAATTTGTCATCTATGCTATGCAGGCTAAATTCTTATAGTAGGCTTAGAGCTTGGTGATAAAGGGACCATCCCAGGATATAAATGACAAGAGTCCATTGTATTTTCTTCATACTTATGTATCAAAATGAGCATAAGATGGCATGGAAACAATCTTTTCACCATTTTCTTTTCTATCCCCAATTACCCTTGAAGTTTCCTTTTCTCCCATCCATTGCATGTTAACTTTAGACAATTATTTTTTCAAGCGAGGAAAGAAATAAGGACACAGTGTTCAGATCTTTTGATGTTACCAGTATTACAACCTGCTTCCAGTCAGATGGAATAGTATCAACAAGGCAATAATTTAGCTTATTAATTGGCAAATCTGCCTAAAGTCACTAGGAATATACCAAAATAAATCTTTGTGAACAGAGAATTGAGAGGAATTTACACTTAACAACCAGAAAATATATTTTCTATAGTAAAGAACATTTTTAGCAATAGCTGTAGAACTAAGGTCTTAATACATCTGAAGTGTATTTATATTTTCTGTACTAAAGTGCTGGTTGCTGGGTAGGAGGAACTTCCAAAAGGCAGAATTATAAGTTATTTATAAAGCAAAACAAAACAAACAAAAACTAGCAGTAACAAATAAAAGTGGAATCTTATTTATAAAGTACTTACTATATGCAGCTCTAGGTAGTCACCCAGGCCAGAAGAACTGTCCACTCGCACCAATACAGCTTCTTTTTGAACAGTGCTAAACCCTATGGCCAGTCTGTCTGCTCGTGTACTTGGCCGGTCATTAGGAGGCCACTTATACGTAATTTGTCCACCACCTTTGCTAAAGATGTATGTTGTCCCAGCTGGAAAACAAAAACCAAAACCAATTAGTCCAAATAGATCAGGTACAGAACTTCCCTGTATTTGTTATACTGACATATCAGTAAATGATTCAATTTACACTATGGCAAAAAAGAAATACAAAAGTGAAATCATGGCAAAAGCAGTGAGCAAATCATAGATTTCAATCACACAGGCTCAAGAAAGAGAACAGGGTATTTTTAAAAGAAATATCAAGGCAGCTCAGTTTTTAATATACTCATTAAACTACCAGCAGGTGTTTCCGAACTAATGGAGGATTACTACTTTTTCCATTGAGGAGGACAAGCATGGAATCTAATGGGGTTTTATTTCTCCCTGCTAGTTTTTCAGAAAGAGTTTAGTAGGTAACACTGACTTTGGCTGCTTCCAAAAGGAGCAAAAACATATATTAACTTGTTTTTGAAATAATGAGTTACATGTGCATGTGACAGGGTCGTAGAGCACAGCAAAGCCAATCATAACAAATACTCTATTAGTCAACTTTTATGGGAAAAGGGTCTATTCACATATGATAAATCATCTGTCAATGATAACTAATGGACAAATAGTCATAAGCCCCAGGAGTCATGTCAGGAAAATACAGATAATAGATTTCATCAATAGAAGTGAGGTCTTATTTAACAAGCAATATCTAGTAGCTGTCAAACTATCCAGGATCATAAAAAGAGCCTTTTTTTTTTCTTCAAAAGTGAATGCGAGTCTTACAGTACTAAGAGTATCATAGCCTTATTTGGTGAGTGCTCGAATTTTACTTTATGGTCTTTATCTTACTTTAAAAAGTTTTGGTTCAAATAAGTTTACTAAGCATCTACTGTCCTGAAGTCCTATCTCATTGCACCACAAAAATTCTCTCTCACTAAATGCAATAGAATGGAATTTTTAAGTCAGAACATTTGGAAGAGATGCAAAGATGTGTGTGTGTGTGTGTGTGTGTGTTTGTGTGTGTGTGTAAAGGGGGTGGGGGGGGAAGAACTTTCTCCATACTAAAAGGGACCACAGACATATTTGCAAAGTTATCCCAGGAACAGACGTCATTCAGGTATAATTTATAGAGAGTAATATAGCCTTCTGATAACAAAGGATGTCAGTACATATTTATTGTGTTCTCACTACATGCCAAAGATGGCAATGGAAGTGATAAGAGTAAATATTAAAATTTAGGCCACAGAGCATCTTGTGCTATAAAAAATAATAGCTTCTACCAAGAGCAAAGCTTATATGTAAAAGGTGTATGTATGTACAGCAGTATGTTTTTAAGATTTCTACACCTTAAGTTTCTATCATTACCAAATTTACCAGTTGAATGAAGTTGTGCCCTTTGTATTCTGTCTGAAACATTTCCACAGGCCTTTCAGAAACTCTGAAGACCTCTGCAATATACCTCCTCCCTGACTGCTTAAAAAGGCCTTGGCATATAGAAGTGACATAAGAAACATGGCAGTAAGATATTGAATGTAAAAGTGATTAAGATAGAATCTTGCTATAATGGAATGGTAGAGAGGCTGTGCATTCTCTACTAATTTTGTTTTGGATACCAATGCATGAAAGTAGTTTATCTCTCTCACATGAAAACAGGTAAGTTGTATTTCAAAGGCTTCAGTCAGTGTGCAAGTAAAGAACATTCAGAATGTAGAGATTTGTGTATCAGATATCCTGGAGCCTACAAGACCATTACTGTTCCACGTCTTCAGAAGCTTGTTACCTGGAATATTGATAAGCAAGAACTATTTGATAAATATTTTTCAGCTTGGTAATTTTTCTCAGATGATTGACTATTAAATGTTTCAATAAAACCTACAGTGATAAAAATTGGACAAGAACATATATGAAAGTGAAGGTTTCTTTAACAGGAGAATGTGGAGGTGACCTGAGTACAGGTATTTGATTACTTTTCTTTCTTATACCTTTTAATTAACTTTGTTCTCTAGTGGCAATGTAGTTTGTATGAGTTAAGTCAAATATTCAAAACTAGAGATGCTGCAAAACAATGTAAAACATATCAAAGAATTCAGATCACCAGAGGAAGACAGTAGTGTACAACAAAATATCTTACATTACATAGTGGTTCTTAATATTAAAAATATCACTTTTCCCACAAACTTTCATTTCTTCTCTACTGTTGTATAGAAAGTAGGGTAAGCAGTAGTCCCATGTTACATCTGAGTCCTAAAGATTGATGTGTTATCTCAAGTTGCAATCTTGTTTAAGTGGCAGAGCTGGTAAGGACACCTAGTATCCAGACTCCTACTCCTGTACTTTTTTTTTATTACAGAAATGTTTCTGTTATCATAACAAGACAGTCAAGAAAAAGTTAATTGGATGTGTCAGTCTGAATTTATCAAGGCCAACTGTTATCATATTCTAATGTCTCATATCCATAAAGTGACATTTGCACCTCATGATCATATACTGTCCTTTCACCTCACAATGCTTTTAAAAAAAGAAGAATAACATGTAAATGTGTAATGACAGAACATTTAATATACGTAGATTAACATTTCGTTTAGGGTATACTTCCCAAACTTAGGGAACTATGAAAGTTTCTAGATCCTCAGTTACAGAATGTGAGGATAATGACTTAAAGGTTTATATTTTCAGTAAGGTAAATGCCACAATACAAACATCATTGCTCGAGATTTGATTTCATCTCATATTTCAATAAGTGTTAAGGCCTGGCCACTAGCATGCTATTAACTATTCCATCTTCCTTAAAATGACTTTCCAGTTCTTTAAGTTTCACTGAAACAAAGTAAAAACAATCGTACTACCTTGTGCCAAACAATGTGGTTATTTCTAGCATCTTTTTTTTCTCCGGATATATCTGGAAAGCAATCTCTCTCCCTTCTTCTTCTGTGTTCACAACAGTGCATTGTATTGTACTCATCAGCATAATTCCATAATAAGTGAGAGAATTAGATGTCTCGTTCTCTCCCTACCACTCTCTACCTACCTCTATAATCATCCTGGCTTTCTTAAAAGGAAAAAAAAACATATCAAACTCTAAAAAATCTCATATGTTCTTAAACCCCGATCTATCAAGATAGAAAATTACAGTGTATCCTATTCTAGTAATCTTAAAAATATGACAATACTCCCACAGTAAAATACAGTGGGTCAGATGACTAAAGTCTTAAAATCTACTTCATTTAGCATGCATTTTTCCAAACAAGGACATGATGTACTTACTATAGCAGATAGCTAAAGAATTAAGAATGTAGGCTCTGAACAGGCCTGAGTTCAAATTTCAACTGAATCACTTACTAGCTACAATGACTTTTACCAACCTATTTATTCTAAGTCTTAGATATCCCATCTGAACAAAATGAGGATACTAACAATATCTACCTCATAGAGCTCCTGTCAAAAATAAAGGAGATATCACACTAGTAACACCTTAGACCAATTCCTGGCATATGGTAAGTGCCCAATAAATTTTACATAGAACAGATGGTGCGTGTGGTGGAAAGGTGTGTGTGTGTATGCATATGTGCTAAAAATACAAAATAAAGAAAAAATATATAAAATAATGAACACTGCAATATTGTTGGTTTATTTTAACATAAATTTGAAAAAGTTTGAGTCATTTCAAAGTTGTGTGAAAATCAAAAAGAAAACCATATCTGGGGGCATCACAATGCCAGATTTCAGGTTGTACTACAAAGTGGTGGTCATCAAGACAGTGTGGTACTGGCACAAAAACAGACACATAGATCAATGGAACAGAATAGAGAACCCAGAAGTGGACCCTGAACTTTATGGTCAACTAATATTCGATAAAGGAGGAAAGACTATCCACTGGAAGAAAGACAGTATCTTCAATAAATGGTGCTGGGAAAATTGGACATCCACATGCAGAAGAATGAAACTGGACCACTCTCTTGCACCATACACAAAGATAAACTCAAAATGGATGAAAGATCTAAATGTGAGACAAGATTCCATCAAAATCCTAGAGGAGAACACAGGCAACACCCTTTTTGAACTTGGCCACAGTAACTTCCTCCAAGATACATCCACGAAAGCAAAAGAAACAAAAGCAAAAATGAACTATTGGGACTTCATCAAGATAAGAAGCTTTTGCACAGCAAAGGATACAGTCAACAAAACTCAAAGACAACCTACAGAATGGGAGAAGATATTTGCAAATAACATATCAGATAAAGGGCTAGTTTCCAAAATCTATAAAGAACTTATTAAACTCAACACCAATGATACAAACTATCCAATCATGAAATGGGCAAAAGACATGAAGAGAAATCTCACAGAGGAAGACACAGACATGGCCAACATGCACATGAGACAATGCTCCGCATCACTTGCCATCAGGGAAATATGAATCAAAACCACAATGAGATACCACCTCACACCAGTGAGAATGGGGAAAATTAACAAGGCAGGAAACAACAAATGTTGGAGAGGATGCGGAGAAAAGGGAACCCTCTTGCACTGTTGGTGGGAATGTGAACTGGTGCAGCCACTCTGGAAAACTGTGTGGAGGTTCCTCAAAGAATTAAAAATAGACCTGCCCTACGACCCAGCAATTGCACTGTTAGGGATTTACCCCAAAGATTCAGATGCAATGAAACGCCGGGACACCTGCACCCCGATGTTTCTAGCAGCCATGTCCACAATAGCCAAACTGTGGAAGGAGACTCGGTGTCCATCGAAAGATGAATGGATAAAGAAGATGTGGTTTATGTATACAATGGAATATTACTCAGCCATTAGAAACGACAAATACCCACCATTTGCTTCAATGTGGATGGAACTGGAGGGTATTATGCTGAGTGAAGTAAGTCAATCGGAGAAGGACAAACAGTGTATGTTCTCATTCATTTGGGGAATATGAATAGTAGTGAAAGGGAATATAAGGGAAGGGAGAAGAAATGTGTGGGAAATATCAGAAAGGGAGACAGAACATAAAGACTTCTAACTCTGGGAAATGAACTAGGGGTGGTGGAGGGGGAGGAGGGCAGGGGGT